AGTGGAAAATGTTGCATTACTTTGCTGAGAACTTCTTTGCGGCTGTCCTTCCTGTGGGTTTTGAAGACGACGACACACTGTTCATCTACGCCGTCTCAGATCTGAATCATGACCTGAAGCTCAAAGCTGTGGTAAACTTTTACTTGCTTACCTCAGATTAGAGAAAAATGTCACTAATTCCAAATAAGGCTGCATTCAGGAAGTAGTGCAGCCTTATTTAAATGCAGGAAGTAAATTACTTTGGTTTGGGTTTAATCAGGGATCTTAGTCCCTCTTATGTTGGTTGGCTCTAATAGGGGCGGGAATGTTAGGGTGGAACTCAGTTTGATTAGATAAAATGTTTAAAATCTGTTACTAAACTGTCTACTTGACGCTGAACTGTTAATAAGATGATACCAAATAGTTAATAAGCTGTTAACAAACTGATAAGAAGCTTTATGCAAACTGTTTTTAAAGCTATCACTAAACAGTTTTTAACAAGCTGTAAATAAGCTCTGACTCTGCTTAGCTGTTAACAAAGCTTATTTAATTTGATATTGTTGCATTTCTTTTTCAGTGACTCTGCTGGTCCTCCATATGATCCAACATAAACAGCTAAATGAATGAATTTGACATTTTGATCATTTTCTTTCTGGACATAAACCCCTGACAGCTTGCTTCACATTTTATCTTTCCTGCCTATCAGCAAAAACAGATCAGTGTTTCTTTGTGTGTTGATCAGGTCACTGTGCACTCCTGGTCTGACCTGGATTCAGTTTGCACGAGAGCCTCAGACCTACAGCCTGTGCCTGGAGGCAGTGCTGTGGCCATCTTTGAACAGTCTGTCACCGCCCTGCTGGCCGGATGTGGCCGCTGCAGCCGCCTCACCTGCCTGCTCACCTTCCACCTGCAAGACGAAGATGGTGTCCAGCTGGGACCAACCAACCGCCACTTCCTCTGTTCACCCAGAGATGCTCAGGGGCTGCAGAGACCCAACATCACCGTAAACATATTTATTGAGTTCATTTTCTAGATGCAGAGCAATTAATAATTTATAATAATTTGATCTGCCAGTTCTAATTTGCACAGATTACTTTAAATAGGCAGCTTTACATTATAAAAGATACTTTCATTTGAATAAAGAAATAGATTTACAGGCCATTTTATTTTAAAGTAATACTAAGATTTTCTGGAAAATAATTCATGATTTTAGAACACAAACAAGAGAATCTCAAGGTGGTGGAACAAAGTGAACAAATCATCTGAATGTGGTAAAATGCACCGTATCACAAAGAATAAGAATAATAAAAAATATAGAACGGCATGAAATAACTAAATATGGCAGAAATAGAAATGCGTTTTCATTTTTTTGTTAGCTAAGTCAATTCGTACCTTAAAGAAGCATTTTGTAGCTTTCTTTGATTAATAAGTGTTTACATTGGTATCAGAAGTGAAATTAACACTCGGTGAGAGTGGAGTGAGGGAGGAAAAGATGTGAAGCAACTCTGCAGTAGATGACACCATTTATATATTCTAGAGTAGTGATCTTCAATGTGGGGGTGGCAGCCCCCTAGTGCAGTGATGCCCTGGGCCTTGGACCGGTACCCGCTCTGTATGTCATTTGGTGCCTGGATGCACTTTAAGAACAAATAACTTCAATTAATTCCAACTTATTTATTCTCCTTTTTTTAATGATGAGTGAGATGAGGACTGGAGTCGTGGCTGAAATATGAATTTATCTCGTGTTTACATCCACCACTGCCATGTTTTTATCAAGAGTGAAAAAACATATTCACAGGCAATTTTAATTATATGTCTTATTTAATGGAAATACCACATTTTTCAAAAATTTGCATTTTGAAATCAGCAGAATATCAACATAGTGGACACAATGGAAATACTAGCAAGTAACATATTTGAACTCTTCTAAATAATCTCAGGTTTATCTAACCGCATGATTTGATCAACAACCAAACGTAGTCCCAATGGCCTTTGTTATAATTTCCAAAATATTAGATTTACAGATGAGAAACTAAACATGTGACTTAAGTTTTAAGCTTGAAATATAAAGAGCTTTTAACTCCTGCCATCTTGTTTTCAATTAAATTATTGTCATGTTGCTATAGAGCCACTAGGTGGTGCTACTAAGTGTCTACTTGTGTGGAGAGATAAAGTAAAAATTTTGCAAGATGAGTTAGAGACTAACAAAGTTTTTTTTTTTTCTCCTCTAACAGGCAAAGGTTCAACAGGACAAGTCGGGCTTCACGGTGACCCTTAACTCTGCCGCCGTGGCTCCCTTCGTCTGGCTGGACGTGGGAAATGTCCCCGGTCGTTTTAGCTCTAACGGCTTCCTAATGGTCACAAGAAACGCTACCATCAAGTTTGAGGCCTGGTGTCCCACCAGCGTAGAAGAACTGTCCAGATCCCTGAGGGTGACAACGTTAATGGACGTTTACTGATCTGAGATGGATGTTTGTGGCGACTGAAGACCAAATGGACTCCAGCACAGCTTTGGTCTTAGCTCCCATCTGTTTGTTTAAGAAATCTCACCCTTGTGTTGAATGTTTTTTTGATAAATGAAGTTAATAAAACCTGTATTATAATTGGTACTAGAGTATGTTCGCTGCTTTTAAAAAAAGGAAAGGAATTAGATTATCAGCAGACATACAGACAGAAGCAGATATCTGATCAGATGACAAAGATGGAGGATGTTTTATACCACAGACAGTTGAAAAGCTTTAAGGTTAATAGTTAATCTTGAGTGATGGTTTCACTACAAAAATCCACAAACCTTTCTTTCTATATCATTTATTGATGCAGGAAGGTTTTTTTTTTTAAGGTTGGGTTTTTTAACTCCTATTTCAGAAACATATTTAGTTAAAGTGATTTAAAATGGATCAGCTTGAGTTGTCATTTTAGGAACCACACTGCCCTGCTGGCTTAAAATACAATGGAGAACCAACTCTTATTATTAAAAATAGATTATTAAAAATAAAAGTAGAAATATATGAATGGCTGAAAAGAATAAAGAAAAATACCATATTTTTAAAATAGATGGATATATATAATTTACCACATATTTTATAAGTTAAATTTGTGTTTCTTCTCTGCCTGTTTAGATAATGTAAATTTTACTTATAGATGCATTTATGTTTAATCTATTTTTTCTCTATTTTTTCCTAAGCCCTTTAACTTACATGTTTATTCTGAATGTACCTGGTTATTTAGTATTTTTACTTATTTCTTTTATTTTTGGGGGGGCATTTTTATATTTAAACTTTTATATTTAATTATGTTAGAGTTGGTCCTCCATAGAATTGCATTCTAAAATGTATCAAGCCTTTATTGATATTGGCCCCTTAATTGTGTTCCTTATGTCACTAAAATGCTATGAACCCATAGTAGGGCACCTCTGGGACAGAGCGACTCTTAAATGATGCACTCAAACCGTTGATGAACGATAGATTAGAAATGTTAATGCAGTAATTATTACTTTTAATCCATTCCTGGGAGGGCTATATTGTTCTTGCAACAAGTGAGAGTTTCACAACTTTCCCCAACTTGAAACCAAAGTGGCATCACTGTCGTCAACAGATCAAAGATAATGAAACAAAGATTTACAAAATAAGCCAGTGAGTGAGTGGCACATGTGTGGCTGGTTAATTTAATCAGAATACCTTAACAATTTCTAAGCCTGTAACTCTCCACTTATGACACTTTTTGTTTGCAGTTCTCATATTAATTGTACTACTTTATGGGTTTTTGGTGACAAAGAAAGTAATTGGGAAATGAAAGATATTTTTTATTATTTTGAGAACAAAAAAATCTGAAATGAGGTGTGCATAACAGTTTCCACTTGATTTATAATTGAATTTCTACAAACCTATCTGTATTAATGGGTACAAAATAGTTTATTTAAAAAAAAAAAGTTTGTTCACATTTTGCCACAAGATATGAAGGGGAAATGGCAAACACTGAAGATTTCTTTCAGGTGCGACCAAACATGAGACTGTTCGCCTCTGCATCATCACTCAGAAACATGGTGGTGGCAGCATCATGCAGTGGGGATGTCAACAGAAACTGGTCTGGATTTACTAGGTGGCCATTTCTGAAAGAAAAGAACAAGATCAAGATCACAGATGACATTTTATTTCTGGCAGAAAAAAACTGAGATGTACTGCTGCCCCTGCAATTGTCTTGCAAATTACAGCACCATTACATTCCCATCAGTTTTTTTTTATGAAGTCTGAAAAAAACAGCACTTTGTATTTTATATCTAGATTTAACAATATTTCTAAGAAAATGTCTAAATAAAATCTTAACATCATCAATACAAAGATCCAGTTAAGTCCATCCTCATGTTTCCCAGTTTGAGGCAAAATTCTGTCCAACCACCAATGTTCATAATGATCAAATCCTGATCAAATCTGAAGATCAAATCTTTACTTCCCCGTCCCATTCTTCCTGCCACTTCCAAACTACATATTCATTGATCAAACTGCGGCCTTCAGTCTGCCTCAATGCTCATCCATTTACTCATCCATTAAAAAAAGGAATCCATGCTTCAGTTGGATCTATTTGAGTGTCTTTAGCTACTTTAACACTATAATTTCCTGTCCTATCCTGATGAAATGTGTTGAACTAGAGATGCCTAGATAGATCCATGAATTCCTTTAGTCGATTTCATATTGCAACCACAAGGGGGTGACAGAAACCATTTAAAGTATTCCTTACGTTTGCACTCAGTTTTATTCATGAAATATTTATATAAACTAATATATATTAACATAACTAAATACATAAACACCAAGCCGCGAGTGTTGCGCCCACTTTTCACCTCTTTGTGTGAAGTCACATCATTTACCACACAGCCTGTCGCACATTTTCCTCACTGAGCGTCAGCATGGTGTTTCTGATTGAATCAGCATTGAAATCAAGTGTGGAAACAGTGGGCGCGTATCCGCTTGATCACCACCCCTTTGTTTTTGTTTGCTGCAGGCTGATCTTTGACCCTCATCCAGGGAGAATAGACAGATCCAGAGCGGCTCAACTGCAGGAGGAGCTAATAGAAATAGTAATCAGGAATAAGAGGGAGGGGGAAACATCGCAGTGCAGAATCAAGCGGAGAGTTTCTGGCATGGATCACACTCCACGGACACTTTGATCAACGGCTGGGGCACATGTTATTCTCAGGGGGGAAATACAGTCTAAAAAGTAGAGATGTTTGTTGCACAATGGCTCGCTGCATGCGTCCTGGCTTCCAGTGCGATCGCCCAGGGCTTTAAAGTGACAGAGCAGAATGGACATGAGTTTTTAGAGAATATTTTACACTATTATGGTGAAAATAAATCAATTACTACAGAGAAGTTTGAAGATCTGCTGCTTTTGATCTCAGCCAGACGATCGGAATCAATAATTGAAGCAAATCCACTGGAGGACAAAGAGGTATGTATTACCATTCTTTCACTTCTGTGAATAGTTTTGTTCTGTTTTATTCAATTCAGTTTATTTATATAGCGCCAATTCACAACACATGTCATCTCAAGGCACTTTAAAATTCAACCATTCATACTGTCAGATTGATTCAAAGTTTTCTATCTAAGCAAAACCAGTTAACTGGCAGGCAATTCCTTACACCATGCATGCTTGTAGTGACAGTGGAGAGGAAAAACTCCCTTTTAACAGGATGAACAGATGTTTAGAAATATTCCTGATCAAAGCAATATTTTTGTCTGAGTGGTAGAAATTTACCATTTTTTTCAATCACCCATAGTTTCCTTGTGTATTATTAATAGATGTAAGGATTATTTATCTAGCTCGGTTTAATTGCAAACAAACTTTAGATGCTAGGTGTTCCCTTTAGTTTGTATTCCACCTAACTCCTAAGGAGCCAGTAATTATTCAATGAAATATTGGCTCAGAAAATACTTGTATTATTTTTAAAATGCAGTTGATATCTCCACTTCCAACTTAACATAATATATATCAAATCATTCTAAAATGTTGACCATTTAAACTGTAGGGTTTTTGAGGATTGAAGGGTTTTGAGAGCTCATAACTATTTTAGCTCAGAGTTTCCTAAACAAATATTCAAACGCTTAACAAAATAATCACTGATTTATTTAGATTGTTTCCCTTTCTTCATAAAAGTTTTCCTACGCTAAGTTAAGTCTGCTTTGACAAAGCCTAGAGCAAGATTCCTTGTTTGATCATATGTATAAATCTAAATAAATCAACAGCTAACCACAGTGGTCAGAGCCTGCAGAATAATGCTGGATAAAACTACTAAAAAGATTTGATATCAACAGGGAAAAGCTCACCTACATATAGCCACAGCACACATTCACTTGTCTTGGCTTTGCAACAATCAGTGACAATAACATGCATGTAGTGACAGTTGAGAGAAAAAAACCCCCTCTAAACCAGAAGAAACCTCCAACAGAACCAGGCTAAGTTAAGCATCCTTCTACTGGTTCTGACTGAGGGGTACTAGGACAGGGGCAGATACAGTGAGGAAGAAGCCTGTTAGTCCAAATGCAACACAAGGTGCATCATTTTTGGTCTGCTGAGACAAATATTAATTATTCTGTAAGACAGACTTTTAAGTCCTAAGAACACCATCCTATTGGTGAAGTACAGTGTTGGCTACATAATCTTGGGGTTTTCTTTCAGCAGGCGGATTGTTGGTTAGAAAATAGACACCATCTGATGTAAAATAACTAAGGACACCATCCAGGTAACTAAAGCGGGGGCATAAGATTTGCTTTTCAAATTTTATTTGTTTAGTTTTAATTTTATTTTATTAATTGTATTCAAACAAAAAAAATTAACATGAATAACAAACACTCTAAAGTCCTGAATGAAAGGGAACAAAATAAAGAATAATTTTATGTTATCTGCCAAATGTTGTTTGTAAAATACTATATAATACTAATTCAAATGAACAGATTAGTTGGACAGTGAAGGTCTCAAAGCCCTGATCTCTGTCACAAAGGAAGGATGTGGGCAGAGGTGAAAAGGTGACCCCATTTTCACCAGTTCTGTCTGAAGTACTTGGCATTAAAAAAGAAAATTCCAGCAAACTACTATGAGTCAATCTCTAAAATGACTCAAATAATGTCAATTAAAGACTGTTCTGCTAAATACTAAAGAAATGTAGATATTCCTCTAACTCTGAATATGAGTTAACTTTTATACCACTTTCTTGATCAAAGCTCTCATGTAAGGAATGTTTGGTTACCAGGACAGCTGAGTAAGCTAAATATGCAACCAAGACATTGTTACCACGAATCGAAGTAGACTGAGGACAAAAACAACATTATGTTGCTTTATAGACACATCTGAAAATCTAGAAAGAGAAACACTCCAAAGAGCAAAGGAGAAATGCAGGAAATGAAACCTAACGGCCTCTCTGTCCCCTCAGTGTCCCTCAGCGGATCAGATTTTGTCGCACTTTGGCCTCGGTAACGTGACTGAGCTGACTGTGGGACATCTGGGGAGGATCTGCCCTGCTGTGTTGACTCAGGTGCTGCTGCCCTCCTGCCCCTACATCAACCCAATAACTGTGCCTGCTGTCGACTACTCTGGTAAGTTGCCTCATTCCAGCTGTTTGACTTATATCAAGACTGCATGAGATTAGATAATTAGGTCACAGAAGTTTATTGCTTCAGACTAGAGATGTAGCAACACATCCACAGTGACTCACATGGTGGATCCCTTTAAAGGTTCATCGCTAGATTTAATGTCTTGAAATCAGCTCTAATAATAGATTGGTAATATAAATGAGTCAATGTTCACATTTGTTCCACAACAGGCTGAAGGAAATTCGCTCTAGTTTGAAGTCCTGCCGTCACACTATGGTTCCTCCTTTCATTATATTGTTCACCTCAAGGGGAGCAGGTGTGAAACAGAAACGGTTATAGAGCGCCTTGCAAAATGAAATCCTCACAAGTCTTGTAATGATTATCAGTTCATCAGTTTGTAATTCAGTCTCTGTGAAGATCAATACAGACTAAAGCAGACGGGTCAAAGGGACCAGACTGGTAAAAAGAGATTATATGATATGATAATATTTTTTGGCGTGGAATGTGGTTTTACAGCAGAAAAATGTAACCTGCATCTCATCATCACTGTGAAACATGGTGGTGGCAGCATCATGTGTTTAGAATTGATGGTAAGAAGAACTAAGCTAGATACAGACCGTCCTGGAAGGAAACCTTATCAAGATGATTGGAGTAAGAGTTGGTTTGTGGTTAGAGAGGCAGAGTTAGTATAAGACATCATGATTAGATTGTCACTTAAATCATTAGAGACATATCTAAGCTATATTTTAATCATATAAAAAAATCTAGTTTATCCATTTTTTTTTTTCTTTCAGATTTCAAATATTAGCCTCCCTCATCTGAGTATGTCTAGTCCCCCAGTGGTGAAAATAGATGGGGGGCCTGGGGTGGCAACGGCCACCATTACCCAATCATTGGCCATCCCTGTAGCCACCCCCGCCAGCTCATTTGTTTTTTCCACATAGACATAATTCATCACCTTTGGAAACAAGCAGTCAAATGGACTGGTAGCAGGCAGAACGTCCTAACTAATAAATTTAACGGTTTGTATTTTAGCCAATAGCTGACAACAGAACGTTAAATATTAACATAAATATACACTATAATTGTCATTAAAGGAAAAATTAATTCATGTTCTTTTAGAACTAGTTTCTGTGTTTAATTGGGGAGGAGGCAAAGTGTCTCTGCAAGTCATCTAGCAGTCTTCTATGTAACTGAAGATTAATAATAGCTAAACTAATTTAGTGTATGTTTTCATGTATGCATATATTAATATTATGACACAGCAGACAGATTTTCTGGAAATGTATTTAAGAAATGCCTAAGTAACTTTTTTAATTACTACAAGACCATTCCACCTACCACCATTGCGTCAAAGAATCTCTCAAATACACTCTAGTCTTTTCAATTTCCTCTGCGACCTTCCTTAACTTCTCATAAACTTGTAAGACCATTTTCTTTTTGTGACTCTGGGATGTTTTTGAAGTGTACAGTGAGATAAGTGGAGCTATAATGAATGGCTGAAACCAAAGCTAACTAGATACATAAAGACCAGAAGGGCGAACCTGCAGCTAGAGCATGCAGATTGACTTTGGGTGAACATGTTACAAGAACTGGCATGTTGAATTAGATTACATTTGCTATATACCTTTCATTTAGACAGCATGCATGTATAGATATGTGTATTTCTTTGCACTGATTTTGGAAAATCTAGTTTGTCTTGATTTATCTGGGGAAAAAATAGATGTCCTCATTCATTTACCCGTATCTACAGTGCAAAATTAACTCTGAATTGGGTCTAGCAGCAATCTGTTAATGATACTAGTCCCTGCCTGGTCACCCTTATGAAAATTGTCCGGTTACGCCACTGCTGTCTCCATTAAAGCCAGTTGTTGATTGTGATGTAATCGTGAACTTCACCTCCTTAGACCTGACTGATGCAGTCAATGACACACCGCAGCTCCCCTCTGAGCTGCTGACACAGTTACAGTGAGCTGTAACTTCCTTCCTCTCCAAATAAATAGTACTCATTGAACCTGTTTAAATTTAATTACAAAGAGAGGACAAAGCAAGATTTGAGTCAATAAATCAAGGCTTAGTACTTATAACCTGTTGTCAGCTGCTCTGTAGTTGAGGGGAGTGTTGGCCTAGTGATAGAGCTGTGCGCTTATGCCCTGAAAAGGTTGTAAGTACCTGGTTGATCCCCACAGCCTGCACTCTGGGTCTCTGAGCAAGACCCTTAACCCCACACTGCTCCCTGGTCGCCACACAGTGGCAGCCCACTGCTCCCCAAGGGGATGGGTTAGATGCAGAGAGTTAATTTCTACATTATGAAATCAATAAAGTTCCATTTCTATTTTTTATATATATATATTTAAAAGGCTTTGCCTGCCTGAGGTGACTGTTTTTCTCACACTGCTGTGGGTTTTCTGTTGTTTCCTGTGTGCTTGGTGAAGGTGAGGTGGGTTTTGCTTTGATAAGACCCAGTTTCTTGTTACATTCTTCAAACTAATATAGAATGATATACTTGCAATTAACACAACTAACTTGGCCAGTGCCAAGGTTTACATTTTTCAAAAGACTATAAAGCTTTTCACTGATGCTGAAATCAGCTAACTTTGAGCCAACTCCTTATGGGGCTCCAGACTAAGATATTTTGGTGGAAACTAAATTTGGACAAACAGGCAACAAGTTAAAAATACAATCTGGACAGCTCTGCAGATTGCAAGCAACCTACTACACTGGAAAAACAATTTCTTAAATTAAGTGTATTTACCCTTAATTTTGGTAGGTAAAACAGACAATCTGCCAATGAAATTAGTATTTTTACTCTTAGAATAAGATATTAGGATAAAATGCACTTGAATTGGCAAAATGTCTCTTTTATCTTCATAATTCACGAAAAAAATGCACTTATTTTAAGAAAAAAATACTTATCTTAAATTAATTATTAACTTAAATGAAGCAGGTTGCAGATGAAAGGAGGGAAAATCAGCTTAGACTTAGACTAAAACAATTTTTATTGTCATTTTTTTCATTTTGTATGGCTTTCATGACATTTCCACTCCTTCAAGTGCAGCAGTGATCAAATTGAAACAGTGTGGGAGAAAAAACATGGCGCCTCAGCTGGCTCCTTTTGACGCGGAGGAGCAACGACTCGCAGCTTCTGGCTGTAGGGACATGGAACGTCAGCATAAAATATATGTATAGTGCAATTATGCAGTATTTTTGGTTTGGTGTTGTCAGTGTGATGCAGAGACTGTGAGATGATTAAGAGTTTTTACAAATGTTCAGCTGTCTGATGGCGGTGGAGAAGAAGCTGTTTTGGAATCTGCTGGACCTGCATCCAATGCTGCGAAGCCTCTTCCCAGAGGGCAGCAGGGACAAAGCAGCTGTAATGTTGAATGTTTATGGGGAAATAAAAAATAAATCTAGAGTACATCTTCACTAAAAGCAGGAAAAAGAGTCGTCAAACACAATGGAAGATAAAAACTTTTAAATTGTGATCTATAGGATTTTTATTTCAGTAAAAAAAATATTGTGGTGCTTGAAACTGATGTTGATCTCCACATAGTTACTAGATGTAACCTGAGGATATTCTATATGTTCTCCGGTACGTGTGTGGGTTCTCCCCAGGTACTCCGGCTTCCTTTAATGCTCCAAAAACGTGACTGTTATGGTAATGTGTTGCTCTGAAATGCTCTAAAACGGATGTTTTTCTTGTGGCAGTGTGGGGCTATGGGTTTCTGGCTGTCACCATAATCAACCTGGCGTCTCTTCTCGGCCTGCTGCTGATCCCCTTCACCAAGAAGTCATATTTCCCCAAAGTGCTGACTTACTTTATCGGCCTGGCCATCGGGACTCTCTTCTCCAACGCCGTACTTCAGCTCATACCAGAGGTCTGATAACGTGCTGATATTTCATTTTTAATCTGGTCAAGAAGTTCAAAATCCAAATACATACCTGAATACAAATAATGAATAAAGTGAAAAACATACATTAAAAAAAAAATTAAAATCTATATTTTTTTTGTTGTTGTTGTTCACAGGCTCTGGGTTTTGATCCCAAAGAAGACAACTATGTGGCAAAAGCAGTTGGCATATTTGGAGGATTTTACCTTTTATTTTTCGTGGAAAAGATACTGAAAATAGTTCTCAGGATTGACCATGAGGTAAGCTACAGAGTTCAAAATGCTTTATTGCTCATTTATCCTTGATTTTTTTTATAAGAGATAATTGTCTCCTTAATGGGCCTCAGGTTTTTATCTTGTATTTATTTGACACCTGTCTAGCTCTCCAATGCTAAGTTGCACCTACTTTGATCCTGAATAACTCTTTCCACTCAGAGTAACCTAGATTCCGGCCTCTTAATACACTCACTACTGACCTAAGGTCATAAAAATGGATGGTTTATCTGCAGGTTACACGTGCTTGATAGAAAACTGCTGTGAAAAACATTCCACTGCCACACCTGACAGGCTTTACTCACTGATAATATGTTATCTCTGTGATCAAGGAAAGACCATAATTAGAAAGAAAAAGCCCTTTGACCTCTTACTCTACAAATAATAGGGTTATTAAGGTCCCTTCTTTTTATTCTGCCCTCATAAAGCAACTTAGAGTTTAAACCCTCTTAATACTTGTCATTTTTAACCTGATTTTCACACTAAGCTAAAATGATGCGCTCCTCTTGCAGTCTCATTTATTGAATGCTTATTGGTAAAACGAGCATGCTTTCTCTCCATTTGTGAATAGATGTTTTTGTTATTTTTGCTGTAACTCTTTTTCTCATCACGTGCTTTTGTGTGTCTTTGAAGCACGGCCACAGCCACTTCATTCCTGCAGACCCTCATCAGGAAAACAGCGTCCAGAATGGAGATGCTTGGGAGAAAAAGGACTCTGTGGTTTTGACCAGCATCGCCACTGTTGCTGTAAATGACAGCAGCCTGGCCATTGAGACCTCTCATACAAATGTGGCACCCTCTCAGGTACCATCTTACATCCGTGCCTTTTTTTTTTGTCAAAAGCAACAAAAACAGTTTAACAGGTGCAAAGCAGGATTTAGAAATTTCTGGATAAAGACTTTTAGTGTTAAAAGAGGTATTTAAGTTCTATTATCTGTAACATTCGTTTGTTGTTTTCCCCCATTTAGTCCTATATGGCCTATATTAAACTGGAGATTTAACCCCTTCTTGAACTACATTTATTAAGTTAGACACTATTATATTGTTGAATAAGAAGGTCTTGGAGCACAGTCTCTGCTCCAAATGATCCCTAAGGGGTATGTAGGTTGCCCAGTCAGGTTTCTTTATTTCTAGCTCACTCCTTCATATCTCAGTGAGTTTGTTTTTTAATGCACCGCTGCAGTCATGTTTGAACAGGCTCAAACTGTTCCCACGCATTTTGAAATGGTTTAAAATGCCTCAGTATGCTGGAACATTACGGTTTCTGTGTATTGGAGCAACTGGGCTAAAATCAACCCACGAAAAACAAAATTGACCCTCTTCCAAACTTTGCAGCAGATGGAGAGGATCTGTTCCTGCGGGGAACTCATCCCTACTGCTTTTTCCATCCAGTTGTTTTAACCCATTCTGTGAACATCCTACAAACTCTTCTCCATCTTATGTGAAGGTCACACTAAGGTGAAGACCTAAATGTGAAATTTAGTGACCAAAGCATCGTTTTTACCCGAGCATATGTTGACCAAGTGTATGATTTAAAGATGGCTACTGTTTCATGACTGAGATTCTGTCTTTCCTAAATGCTTGAGATCTATCACCATTGTTTTACTGTGGGATATTTCATTGGGAGGAAATTTTACACCTGCTCTGCTTGCCCAGGTGCTGGATTTTTTTATTTTTTTTATTTTTTATTTTTTTTTAATTTAATTTCAGTACTTGTTAGCTAGTTTAGTTTCACTTCTATGTTTTGAAAAAGCGTAGTTTGAGTTCAGTTTTTATTAGCTTAAATTTTATTGTCAGTCTTTTATGCAATTTATCTTGTCTTCTACTTACCTGGGAAAAGACTATAAAATTAAATACTATACATCAGAAATAAAGAATAAGGATAGACTGCTGAAACTAGACCCCATGTTAATGATCAAGACAAATAAAAACAAATACATTCTCTTAAGATTCAGCTGGGTTTAATTAGTTTTGTAAACCCTTATTAAAGTTTCAGTTAGTTCTATTCTGTTCTAGATGTTATCGTTTCGTTACTTGAATTTAAAACTAATAACCTTTCTGCCATTTTTTTCCTACATGTAATTTAATGATCCTCAGATTGGAAACCTCAGCAGTTTGAACATTGGCATACCTTGATAACAGACACAGGCCCCATTTCTTAGAGCAAGTCATATTTTGAGCTGCTATCACTGATAACTGGAGGTTAGATATGTTAATATGTAAAAATAATTTTTTGATTATCACATTGTTCGGAAGGACATGGAGAAGTTGAATAAACACAAGTGTAAATGAGAAAACTGATTAGAAAAGTTAAGCTGTAGGAATCCAATCCCCCATCATGGTAAAGAGAGCCACTGTCTGACTTTTTTTTTACAAAGAGTCCCTTGTTTGTCCGAGGCTGACATAAGCTCCTTTTTGTCTCTTCAGAGGGACTTTAAACTAAATGTCAATAAATCTGTTTGTGTCTGTGCGTTCTCTGACTTCCTGCTTACAGAATTTGAGCCATTATGTTTCCAGATAAAGAGATCTGCTGCCTTATTGGATAGTAAAGGTTTTCTCTATAACTTGTTCTAGTGGCAGAAGAAAAGCAGCAACAGGCAACATTCGGCTCCTTGGAAGGCATTGTTTGACCGTGTTCTTTATTTTCTGGTCAAAGTAAACTTTAGTGTGCTAAAGTTTACTTTGACATGCTGGCTTTCCCATTGATTCCATATGTTTGCTTTGATCTAACCAAACACTAGCACTGGCTGCATGCCTTTAACCTGCATGTCACGCTTCCAGGACACCCAGGGGTCTGATGTGATGTGCCACTGGCTGCGTGGGAAGCGCATCACCAGTATCAAGACTGTGGCCTGGATGATATCACTGAGTGACGCTGTGCACAACTTCATTGACGGTCTGGCCATTGGGGCTTCGTTCACTGTTTCCATTCTGACAGGCTTCAGTACCTCCACCGCCATCGTCTGTGAGGAGTTTCCCCATGAGCTGGGTGAGTGGCAAGATGTAGCTGAAGTCTTTCTTCAGCTTACAAAGCTGAAGAAAGACAATAGATAATTTTCTTTGGTTTTTGACCAAGGAAAATATAAATAATGTGCTGTAGTCTTCTTTAGTTCACTTAATTTCCTATAGTGACTGTGCATTCAGTCCATCATCTAAACACACATGGTCACGCAAACTGACAAGCCAGACAAGAGAAGCAAACATGGTAACTCTGAAGGAGCTGCAGAGATCTACAGCTCAGCTGGAAGGATCTGTCTACAGGACAAGTGTTATGCCTGATTTATTTTTGACGCATTTGCAAGGTCCATACGGGCAAATTACGTTCTGATTTTCCACACCCAAGAAAACTTGCATCTACTCAGAAGAATGTGGGAGCGAGCAACACTCCCACTGGTGAATGTTTGCTAATAAAAAATATCTAGGGACATGTTGTTGTTTGGCCAATAAGTATAAACACAATCAATACATTGTACAAACTGTTGGGAAGTATTTAGTTTATTGACCTTGAGTTGCTTCTTTATATACCTTGATCATTCCCTACCCACCTTTCTAAAGGCTCTTTTTTATTTGTTTACTACTTCCTTAAGATCATTGGTGATCGCGGGTATATTATTGGGGGGGGATGGTGGTTACTGTTGAGTATAAATGGAATGCAACTGAACTGGACCATGACAGACACAATCGAACCGCATTAAATCTAGAACTAGTTCAGCAGTAAGGCTAAGCACGCTTCATCTGTGGCTTGGTAATTGATAACAAAGAGCGCATGAGCAGACTGCGTCATTTCCTATTTACTGTCAGCTGACTAATTACGCGGGTTTTCTGCCGTGTCTGGCGTTGCAATTTGTAGATCTTTTCACCTGTTCGCAAGACGAGCTTCTTCTCAGCCTTTTAAGAATAAATGACATCAAAGGAGCGCGGTGCAACCTGGAATGATGTCGAGACCAAGGCTCTCAATGAAATTTGGGCGGAGGACGCTATTCAGGCAATAAGTTCCTGAATGTTATGGATGCCACTATTTTGTTTGCGTAATTCAACCCTTCAGAGCTGCAGTAGTCGTGGACTGCCGATACGAGGCGAGGCGCCGTGCTAGCATGATGTGTTAATAGTCTGAAATCGGCACGTAATATTTGAGAGGGCTAGTGTAAATGGGGCAATAGTCCACTCAATCCCAGTTTATACCCTCAAAACGGGTAGGGCTTCTTGAGCTTTCTGTGACTATCCTCTAACTTGTTACTCCAAGGTACACATGTCCACTTCTCTTTACACAGACTTTGGGAGTGCTATCCTTCACCCTCGGAGTCAGCCAGAATAATAATTACAGTTGGAAAAGCTGGGTGGAATATAAGCTGCCGACATTGTGTCCGTGGAGATAGTATGTCCGTCAAACTTAACTAAGACTTTAGCGGTGGCCCGTTGAAATTGTCCCTTTGTGGGTGACAAGAACAAAGCCATCGTTGTCTTAGCCCAGTTTGCAAGAAGCAAAGTATGGGAGACTAAAACTGAGCTTTCTGGACAGTGAGAAATAATCACATGTTTGGGGTAAACCTGCACACCTCAGGCTTAGGGTATACGGTGGTGCCAGCATCAGGCTGTATATGCTATTCTGCACTGAAGACTCCTTAAATGATCAGAGGAAGAAAACATATACAGTTAAATACCTCCACTTCCTAGTAGGACAATTACCTTAAAACCAGAGCTTCAATGGACTGGTTTAAATTGAAGGGACATTCATGTGCCGCATCAAAATCCACCCCTAAGGCCATTTAAGAGACTGTGTAAAGACTTGTTAAAAAGAAATGTATTTTTATTCAACATTTTGTGTACATTCAATTTTATGGTGAAAAACTTTGAGAGAACTCCAGCGTGTTAATATTTTTACAGGGTACTGCGCTTAGTTCAATTGGTTATTTTTGCAGGCTTTTTTACAATGCAATATAGCTCATAGCTTGGTTGATTTCAGAAGAACTATGCGTTATGCAGTCGGTTTTAAATCCATGTCTCCTTCTCTGCAGGTGACTTTGTTATCCTGCTGAATGCTGGAATGAGCATCCCGCAGGCCATTTTCTTCAACCTGCTGTCAGCAATGTCGTGTTATGTCGGCCTTGTGTTTGGAATCCTGCTTGGAAGCAGCTTTGCCCCAAATGCTATCTTTGCCATCGCGGGAGGAATGTTCCTGTATATTGCACTAGCAGACATGGTGAGTTGGTCTATGCATGTCTGAATGTACAGAAGGGCAACATTAAACAACTTTTGCATGTTACTTTGAATGCCATTTTAGTTAAGTGATTTCTACAGAAGACTGATTTAAGCTTGTTGTTTTAACTTAGTACTTTTTTTAAGTTTTACTTGGGCAGCTGTTTTATCTCTGAGAACTCTTGCAACACATCCTGCTCATTAGTTTGTTCTAGGGTCCCCATTGCAACATATACAAGCTAAAGACTTAGCTTTTCTACCTCTAGCAGCTCAGGGAGTTTAAAGTGTTATTACTCAGAACAGGTAGGCAATATTAGAAAGAAGTATTAACCAAGTATTTATTTGAAATAGATAAGAGTTTATCAGAAAGCTAAACAGGACCTAATGTCCATAATGTGCATGTGTAAAGGTTGTAATGCTCCCTAGTGGATGAATTTTTGAACTACATGAGGTCATAAGCAAAAACATGTTTATTTTAAACTGCATAAAGATGTATTAAGAATACGTCTCTGCTGGAAGGGGTTCCCTTTGATAACAAGTGTTTGTTTTAAATTTTAGACTCATAAAATTGTAAAGTATTGTTGAAAAGATCATAAATGTGCAGTCCTGAGAAAAAGGGTAAAATTGTGAATCAGCTACAATATATCCGTTATACCATGTCTTCTAAGGAGGCTTGTTGATAACTAAAGAAAAAGTTTTAGACAAAGCTAAAATTTTGACCTATAACATTAACTGTATCTTATCTTCTATTTCAGTTTCCAGAAATGGACAGTATAGTGAGGGATCAACGGAAAACTTCTAGCAAGATCATCTTCTTTCTGATCCAGGATGCTGGGCTGCTTACCGGCTTCACCATCATCCTACTGATTACATTGTACGCAAAGGACATAAACCTTGGATAGAAAGGAAAAGAAATGCTCATCTGTTGCCTTTGTTTCTGCTCACACAGGCTGGGCTGAAGATGAATGTAAAGAAAATGTTTTGTACAAAACCAATTATTATATGGGACAAAAAAAAGTAGGCTTTTATATTTTGGACTATCAATTTAGTGAAATGTTTACTCAACAAGAAGGGCATTTTTATGCAATCAACATGTATAAAATCACTGACATCTTAAAGGAACAATAAATTATTTTTAGTCTTCAAATGTGAAATGTTTCATATGTATTTTCCTAATGGGTGTAACATAATTTTTAATGAAAAACAAATGATATCCATGCCTCACACCCCTCAGACAGTTCTGTAAAGCTGTGAACTCCATTCTTAAACATTTTATGTATTTTTTATTTTATTTTTATTATTCTTTTCAGTCACCTTGAATTAAAAAGTAAACCTCTAGGAGTTGCCTGCTAAAACTCCGACACGCTAAATATTGCAAACCTGGAGCGCACATGCTGTGTTTAAATGTATATCATTGTATTGAAAGGTTGTTTTTGCACACAGGAAAATGGGGCAGGAGGGAGTTTCTTCCCAACATGCAGATTAATCTCATCTTTGCAGCAGTTCAGAGTTACTGGCAACGAGACTGATTCCACAAACATTTAATGGGCTTTTTTTCCCCTTTTCCTATAAAATATAATTGATAACTGTATTAATATGCTGTAAAATTATTTATTTAAAGTCATTACTTGAAGATAAATAATGTTAATTTTGTTTACTACTATCACACATTTAATCACTAATAAGATTAATAAAGTATTGTTTATTTAAACTTAACCCAACTTGCTTCCTCTGTACACTATGACCCACATCATTCATTTAACCCTTTCCTCTTTGCCTTATTTACTGTTGTATAAATCTAAAAACATACTTTTATATATGGGCCTATTTACAACCCCATTTTCCTAAATCTATCGTTTTTTGTTATTGAAAATCTAAATTCAGTGCATAATTGTTTTGTTTTTATATAGCGTCTTTTGCACGTCATTATTCCCTTTTGTTTCCAATCATATTATTATCCAGTCCAGTGCAAGTGAGATGTTTGTCACAGTAAGAGTCAATACCCTACAAGCTGTTTGACGAAAGTTAAATTATAAGTTTATTTGTAGGTTAAATGCATCTGGAAACTATATTATCTTGTAACTTACTGATACCTCACATAGTGCAATCTGATACCAGTATAAGCTGTGGAGACACTGGTATTCCTGTCTTCTTAAAGTTCCTCTTTAGTCGATTGTGATACTTGTATTGTGGTTTTTATCATTAATTATTTTTGTCTTATTTTATGTATGTATTTATTGGACCATGAGTCCGGAATAAAGTTTTATCTATCTATCTATTATCTGTAGCACTGAATTGAGGAGAGTTTAAAGTATGGGGTGTCTTTTAGCAGCATCATCTATTTGTTTTTTTTTTCTTTTTGCAACATGAGTGCCACTCACAATATGGCTTCTTCAAGGACGTACATCCTTGAAGAAGCCATATTGTGAGTGGATCTTATGGTAAGATTCGGAAGCTAGACGTCTGCTTTCCCCTTTGACCCACAGTGATAGTCAAGTTCAGAACAGTCAAGTGATGAACAATCTATAAATTCCACAGGAAAACAAACTGATTACAAAGTCATATTCAAACTAGTTAATCAGAGAGATTCTTTTGTAGATTGGAATCCAGTTCGGTTAACAAAATTGATAAATAAACTTGTAGGAGAAGTCCGCAGTGCCAGACTCCTGTATAGTGGAGACCTGTTAATAAACTGCAGAGACAGCGCTTAACCAGGCAAAGCCATTCGGATTAACAAGATTGAGGGAAAAAGAGTTCAGTGCAGCTTGTTAGAGAAGAAAAGATTAGTAGGGGAGTCATCGGAAGAGTGGCTCTAAAAGAATCTGAAAAAGAGATTCTAGAAAACATAAGTGGTGCAAAAGTGAAAGAAGTGAAACGGTTAAAAACAACAATAAATGAAGAAAGGTGTGACAGCTTACCTGTGTTAATTGAATTTGAAGAAGAGCAGTTGCCCAGCAAGGTTTTTATTGGTTATAATGTAAACTACAATGTAAACATGTACAATCCTCCACCTCTAAGATGTTTCAAATGGCAAAAATTTGATCATATAGCAGCAGTATGCAAAGGAAAACAACAATGTGGAAGGTGTGCTGGAGAGCACGAATATGAAAAAATGTGGGAAAGAAGTTAAAATTAAATGCTGTAACTGTGGTGGGGAACATACTGTTGCATATAATTAGAAATTTGAAAAGTGAAATTTGAGCTCGGAATTACATATACTGAAGCTGCAAAAAAGATCCCATTCATGTCGGAAAGACCCAAACCATCAGTTAAGCACATGACAAGTTCAAAACCTCTGGAGCAGGGTCCCAAAATTGAAGAAGATTCATTGATTGTGAAAAAGAAAGATTTTGTTCTTTTCATGGTCGAAGTGATCAATTGTAGCGCTCTGATACAAGGAAAACCGAAAGAAATCAAAATAATAGTGAAAGATGCAGAAAAGTATCTTGAAGTTAGAGATTTAAACTGGGAAATGGTTGAAAGCATGATGGGGAAAACCAATAAGAGCATCAGAAACTGGCAGAGTGACGGTAACTTAAAGATAATTTCGAAATTATGAGTACAAATTTGGTTAAGTATTTATTTTGTTGGGTTACGTTAAATAGTACGGTACAATTTGTTTTATTTATTTATTTAATAATTTATTTATTTAATCATTCATTCATTCATTCTGAGGGTGGGTTTTGTTTCCTGTTTCCTTGCTTGACTCCTCACCAGTTGGTGGCGGTAAAGCGCCAACCGCCATAAAACCTCTCAAGAAGAAGAAGTAGCAGCAGCCCCACAGTAGTGAGGGGCCAGGAGTTCACTTTGGCTGCTGGATCCTTAAAATAAAAGACTCTGGCATCATCATAAAGCAAGTATATTGTGTTAGTTTCATATGTTGCTTTTATTTAGCCTCTAGAACCCATTTCGACGCTGAAACCTAGTTAGCTTAGCGTTTATGCTAACTACTATAAGCTAATGTAACTGTTTTCATTGCTTAATTCTTATTTGTAATTTGTCTTTGGGTTTAATTTTAGAAATTGCGGGAAACATATGTGAGCTAATGGTTACTTGCTTTGACTCTTTATTAAAACATTCATTGCTGCTTCTCACATGATGAGCATGAGGAATGTTGCTGGAGGTCATTGTTGATAAAATGCCATTTAAGTTTCTATGTTTAAACATTTTAGCAATTTGGTTAGACTGAAGTGTCTTTAAAGGGTCATTTCTAGGGCTATAAAGGGAATAGGGTGGAAACAATTAATCGTGATTAATTGATTATTAAAATAATCATCAACCAATTTAGTTATCGATTAATCGTTAACTGGAGTATAGAGACTCTAAAACATGCTTTTAGCTGACAGAGGAAACTACTTAGTGCAGCAATTATATCAAAATTGTAAAAAAATAAAAATAAAAATTTAAACATTTTGCATATAGGATGAAAATCATCTTCATCTGTCAGTATCCAGAATTCCTCAAGTGGAAAAATTTTAGTTTCACCTGGTTTAATTTCACAAAGTCTTCTCAAAGGAATATTTGGCTATCTGATTATTAATCGATGAATCGAAAAAATTTATCAACAGATTAATCAATTTGCAAAATACTCCTTAGTTGCAGCCCTGATGTGATATGATGACACGGGTCCGAGGTATACAGTGCAGAATAGGGTTTCTAACATCCATAGTTAATCTCCAACTGTTGATGAAAAGTATTCCCCTGTTGAAAGAAATTAGATAAGCAATCTATCTCTTAATAGGAAAAGAAACTGAATTGTTTGGGTTTTTTTTTTTTCTTAAAGAAATTTCCCCTACTGTGACAACAGGTTTAAATTATTTGTTGAACAAAGAAACACCTACAGTTTCTCTGTTACCCTGAGAGTCGGCCATTCTCTTGTGATGATGATGTGTTTACAGTACGCACATTGTCAGGGAACTTCTTGTTGTGTGTCAGGTTATTGGTGACCCTTGCCAATCAGGTTTTCTATAGCTGTGGTTCTGGCCCTCCCCCATTTGTTGCCACACACTCATCCAGCTAGCTCAATGTTATGGTGGTAAACTTCTCTCAATGTTATTAAATCAAACCAAAACCAATCTGATATTTTTGCTTTAATGGAACATTATGTTTTTTCTGGAGAAGAAAAAAAGATTTGTCTAAATCTAAGTTATCTGCAAACCTTAAACTTTTACTTGCCTATTGGTATAACTCGCATAATTTCGGTTTTGATGCTCCCTGTTTTTTGTTAAACTTAAGTTTTACCTGCACTCTGGATCCCTGAGCAAGACCCTTAACCCCAAAATGCTCCCTGGGCGCCACACAATGGCAGCCCACTGCTCCTCAATGGGATAGGTTAAATGCAGAGGTAAATTTTTTTCAATGTGAGATAATAAACAAAAATTATTATCAATTATTATTATAACTCTGTACATTTAAAATAGAATTATTGAAGTAAAATATATTGCTTAAGCGTTTATTAAATTATCCATTATTAGATGGGAAACCTCACCCAGGATTGACAGATTAATAGATTTTTTTTGTAGTAAAGTATATTACATAATTGATTATTAAATCCTTCATTATTACATGATAAACTGACCATAAATACCTTTCCTTATCGCACATTTAAAAAATTAATTCCTTATTCCATTTTCTTTTTCACATTGCATTTTCAAATATTTTTTGCAGTTACATTATCTTTTTAAGTTACTCTCATTGGCTAGGCTGCCACAGTTGGTTAACAGTTGCTTTATTTCAGTTTTAAATTAAATTAATTAGACCATATTGAATTTTTTGTTTTTGAACTGTTATGTGAGTACAGTCATATTTCAGCTAAAGATTAATTCTCTTACTAACCCAGACCTGTAACATTATTCTGACATACATCTGCAGAAAAAGCATCGGCGTATTTCTATTACTACATAATACGATGAAAAAAGAAGCACCGATTTGAGACTTTAAAATGAGTGACAGAACTCCTTCTGTAGGAATCTATTTCAATCTTCTAACGTTTCAGCTCTGTGTTTTGTCAACCAGCTGAGCCATGGCCAACATTGAGATCAGAAAGTACCGGAATGAAGACTGTGAGACTGTGAAGGAGCTTTTCATCTCAGGGATGAATGAGCACCTACCTTCGTCCTTCATGCACGTCCTGAAACAGCCGGTGACCCACATGCTGCTCATGTGCACCTTCTGCTCGCTCATGGCCACCGCTAAGTCCGTTCTGCTGCCCGTCCTGGCCGTCACCCTCCTCCTGGCCGGAGCCCGGCAGATGATCGTACACATGTTCAACATTTACATAGAGGCCTCCTTAAAGAATGACCTCAACAGCATTGATGAGACCTACCTGAAGCAGAGAAATTCCTGTTTCTGGGTGGCTGAAAGTGACGGGCAGGTGGTCGGGACAGTGGCGTGTGTCCCGGCTGAGAACGCCCCTGAGTTTTTGGAGCTGAAGCGTATGTCAGTCCGTCGCAGCCACCGTGGAAAGGGAATCGCTAAGGCTTTGTGTCGGACAGTAGCGGATTTTACTCGGGACAGAGGCTATCCTTCTGTCATCCTTTATACCTCTATGGTTGCAACTGATGCTCAGAGGCTGTATGAACATATGGGTTACAAGAAGATAAGGCAGTTCCCTTTACCTGAGTTCTTTGCAAAAATCATTAACTTTACTCTGATTGAGTACAGGCTTGACTTAGAGAAAGAGAAATGAAACTAGTGACAAAAATCTTTAAAATAACTTATCATGTTTTTACTTTGTTTAAAGTTTTTTCTATACAACTTGATCTACCCGTTGCTTCCTCAGCAGTTCAGCTATGTTTGTTTTATCCTAATTTTTTTTATTTGCTTATGTTTGTATCTAAAAATGTCAATAAATAATTTAACACATTTTTTTGTGTGTGCGTGTTTGTGTGTATTTTTTTTAAGTTTTCCCCTTCTTTATAAGGTCCATCAATGCTCAAGGCAGTGGTTGTCAAAGTTGGAGCTTCGCCCCCTAGTGGGGGCACCATGTAATAGATTTAAATGACCTATTTTTTTAGGCATTTACAAAATATTAACAGCACAGTTGAAATTACAATAATGATACTATAAAAGCAGTAGTTTTCTGTTTTAAAGGAGAATGCAGTTTCTTTTTAATGGCAGTATTTAATTTAGTGCAGTTGACTTTTCTTTGTTTAGCTTTTGGTAAGGTAGGTTGAGATGTAGGGGCAACTAAAGTTTGGAAACCTCTGGCCACAACTGGCAACCTGTTTTTTTGTCTTTTTTTTTTTTTTTTTTTCAAAAACACTTATTTTTAGCTGTTAATTTTTGATGTTATTTTTTGTTTATCTAAACAAATACATTTAATACTGGGAAGTTGACTTAAAATGGGTATTGAGACATTTATCAAATCCATTAAATACGGTACATAAAAAGTAAAAATGTTCTTTACCCGTATTGCACAGCTCTACTCTACCAATTTCATCCCTGACCATTTTTTTGTGTTCCTTAGTCGCTGTGACACTTTGAAAGATATTCTCTAACAAACCCCTAAAGCCTTTTCTGCTTAAATTTGACTGTCAACAAATAGGCTCATTACATTACTACTTTTACGACATAAAAATGTGCAACAGTTTGAATAGAAAGACAGGAACATTTAAACAAACTATTGACGTAAATCAGGGGTGTCATATCAAAAATAACTAGTATTTGGCCTCAAAATAACCGTTACCCTTTAATGTTTTGGTGCATTTGAAGCCAATTTTCATTTACAGAGACAAAATCTGATAAATTTAGAACCCCCTGGGTCACCAGCAGACTTTAGCATAATGAAGCCTAATAGACCCATCTGAACATTGAATATCCTGAGTTATCAGAATGCAGCAACAGACATCAAAGGCAAAGGAAGGTTTTTGTGCTGCATTCAAAGAGCTTTGCACAGCCGTGATATTTTATAAACACAATAGAAAAAAAAAAACTTACAGAGTTTTCTTTTTGCATTTGATACACATTTAACTATTCAGAAACCCATATATAACATTGTGATATTGGAAGATGAATAAGAGGCCATACATTTATAAAAAAGAACAGAACACTTTTCTTTAGTCTAAATACCTATGAATGCTTCATTATGAGCTGCAAATTTACACAGATGGTTAAAAAAATTCAAAGGGAAATGTGGGAATAGGGATATTCAGATATTAATTCCAGAGTTTGATATATGTATATTTATAAGATTAACAGACTATCTATATACACAGCAGAAATGGTAGCAATTATTATTAGTTTACAGTGGGTGGAGGAGGTTAGACAGCACAGGGTGATGATTTGTACAGATTCTAAAGCTGCAATAGAAAGCATTCATTCAGGAGGAAATAATAGGAAAGACCTTTTATTAGAAATTCATCAGAGTTTATTTAGGTAATTTAGGAATGGGATAGATGTTCAGTTCTGTTGGGTTCCAGCACACGAAGGGGTGAGAGGACATTAAATAGCAGACAAGATAGCTAAAACGGCTTTGGGAAAGAAGAATATAGATCAGATTCCATACGGGAAAGGGAAAGGTAAGTCAATAATAAAATGAAAGAAACAGAATTACGGCAAAAAATATGGGATTAAAATGAGAAAGGAAGAACACTATATAGGATTAAAAAATCTGTAATTGTTAAAAATTATGGAGAGAAAGAAGCAGAAGGGTAGAGATAATTTATACTAGATTAAGAACTGGACATACCTACTTGAATTAGTTTTTGTTTGTAGTATGGAAGAGAAATAATGATTTATGTGAGGGCTGTGAAAGAAAAAAAATGTGGATCATGTTTTAATGGATTGCATTAAATATGCAACTGAAAGAGAGAGGATGAGGAAAGTAATTATGGAAAAAGGGAGAGAATGGAGTATTAAAGGAATTTTAGGGAGAGATGGAGATAGGGAGGAAATTTTGTTTATTAATAAAGCATTGTTTTTTTTTTGACATAACACAAAAATAAAAAATAGAATATAGTAGGTGGAACTATAGAGCTACACACTCATGTACAGTAGGTGGCGGTATACACCTATAAGGTGTTTGCAATTCGCCATTCAACATAGAGTAGAAGAAGAAGAAGTAGCGTCTAACGAAGAAGAAGAAGAAGAGACTGGGCAGTTCTTATGCACATGCCTGGAAGAGATTTTTCACAGGAGCAGAAACGGTTTATGTTTATGTTGTTCCAAGTACAAATTTAAGGTAATTATATTGTGTTAAGTTGTCTTTTTCATTTCCAGTGTAGAATCCTTAAATTCAGCGGCTGTCAGTTCCTCCGTAGCTGCTTGAGGCTAAAAATAATGCTAGAAGTTGGCTGGTCCTGACTGCTATTGAAGCTCTTACTCTCTGGTTAAATTATCCACCGATCGGATTATTTTATTTCCTTGTTGGCTGAATGCTGACTCGTCAATTTGACTGTTGGGTAATGAGGAAGCTTGTTCTTCAGTCCCCTTGTTCGAGAGAGGTCGGTGTGGTTGAAGGTGAAAACTGGTTTATCATTACCTCAAACTGTTGTGTTCTATAATTTAAAAGCACAAGGATATTCTAATATAGGCAGTATAAATGTACTTTGATTCAACCAAATAAAATCTAGTTTGCCCTTTAAAGGCAGCCTGATAATTAGTTAAGCTATCTATAAATTAAATCATAGGGTTTAGAGATAAGGTGAAGTGTTTAACTATATAATTGAAGAAGGAGACAAGAGATCCATGTAAGTACATTTCTGAAAAACAAAAGTACTTTTAGGAGTAGTTTTTACAGCATGATATGTTTTACTTGAACAAAATGTGCTTTTTGGAGAAACTTTATTTAATGATGATAATAATAATAATAATAATAAAAAAGCTTGTTTTAAACAAAAATGCTCTGTTAAAAGAGACACTTTCTTCTTTTTTGTACTTGAGGCTTTTTGGTTAAATGCTATTTTCTATCTGCTGAGTCTACCCTGTCATTTAGAAGCTGAGTGGAAATACAGTTTACTGTAGTATACTCTAAAGAAGGATGTAAAAGTGTATTTAAGTTGTGATTGAAGGAAAAAAATCTGAAAGATGTCAGTGCTAGTCCCAATATGTGACCCAAACTCCTAAACAACAGCATAAAAGAATCTCAACCTTTTCCTTAAAAAAAAAAAAAAAAAAATATATATATCTATATATCTATATATCTCTATATATATATAGAGAGAGATATCTATATATATATAATTGTTCACAAACGGGTTGCAGTGTAATTGTGTTTTATAATCTCCTAATGTTTCCTTCTTAATTTTTTTTCTTTTTTGACCAGCTGAGCCATGGCCAACATTCAGATTAGAAAGTACCGCGATGAGGATGCTGAGAGCGTCAAGGAGCTTTTCACCTTGGGGATGAGTGAGCACGTCCCTTCGTCCTTCACTCACGTCCTAAAACAGCCACTGACCCAGATGATACTCATGTGCTCCTTCTGCGCTCTCATCACCAGCTCCAAGTCCTTCTTGCTACCCATCCTGGCTCTCACGCTCTTCCTGGCTGGAGTCCGACAGATGGTCGTCTACATGTTTAACAAATACATAGAAACATGCCTCAGTAAGGACCTCAACAACATCGGCCAGACCTACCTGCAGCAGAAGGAGTCCTGTTTCTGGGTGGCCGAAAGCGAGGGCCAGGTGGTCGGGACGGTGGCCTGCCTCCCTGCTGAGAATGCACACGCGTGTTTGGAGCTGAAGCGCATGTCGGTGCGGCGCAGTCATCGAGGGATGGGAATCGCCAAGGCTCTATGTCGGACGGTAGCGGAATTCACTCAAGAGAGAGGTTTTGCAGCCGTCATCCTTTACACCTCAGTGGTGCAGACTGATGCTCAGAAGCTGTACGAACACATGGGTTACACAAAGACGAGAGAGTTCGTTGTGCCAGAGTTACCGGCTAAAATCTTAAACTTTACGCTGTTGGAGTACAGACTGGATTTGCAGCAAAAATAGGGGACACGAACAAAATCTGATGTGGACCAAAACCATTAATACATACCAAGATGAACAAAGAAAGCCGTTTCCACACCACTACTGCAGTACAAACACCCCAGAGATTGATAATTTTCAGTTTATCAATGCTGTAACTAAAAAAAATCCTCTAAAAGTCCATTAACACAGACTGGGTGTCGGCAGTAAGCGACAGTTTTAATTTAGTCTTAGAAGGACTGCAGGTTGTCCTACCTTACCTCCAGCACAGAGCCCAGTCTGTCACTGTCCACTTTCCATCATTGATTCTCTCTGCACGGGTAGATTTACAAGAAAGTACCGCCGAATCCGACCACCATCGGATTGGCTCTGGATGAACCAAAGTGGACTCTTTTCAAGTTACAGCTGTGCTTTTATTGTAAAATGCCACAAGATCTTGACAGGATAGGAGCAACAATTTCAGCTTTAAACCTAAATATCTGGGAGGCTGATAAATTACAGAAAACTGTGAAACAATCATTCCACCATAAGGTAAACACTGTTATATTCAATGCCAGCAGAGGAATGACATAAGATGTTATGCAATAATATATAATATTCTGGATGTCTGCTGGGACGGCAACATCATTGGCCCAAATTAAATATAATTCTATCTTTGAAACCAAATCAGCACAAATGACAGTTTTACCTGCAGAAATCAAGAGGCACTGAAAAAGTAGATCATTTTTATTCATTTCAGAGCATAATGGGGGGGATAGTTGATGTCTGGATGATCTAAAAAAATTAATATCTGAAACAGAAGTAGCACATATGATCTTTATTTTATTTATTCATTTTTACAAATTATGATTTTTTTACTGCAGAAATATGCACTAAGGAACCACTAACTATTCAGTCTATTTGTAAAATGTTTTCATGTGGTTGGGGTCTCAGCTTCACGCTGCTCTAGCTGCTCCTCCTTGATTATGCGGTGCGGGAAGTAAACACTGCATCTGAAATGCAGAGCGGTGAACTCCCCACAGCTATTCAGAAATCACTGCCGTCACCGTGCTCGGTCTGAATGCACTTTAAGGGGAGTTTCAAGGTTGTATGTAGACTGATGTTCATGAATATATTTTAAAATATGAATCCCCAATGCTTACTTTTTGGAACCTGTTCAGTCAGGATGAGCATTTCATTCTTCACTCTTATTTGATTTTCATTAAAATATGTTTTAAAACATGTTTTTCCCTTATGTAATTTAAAGAGGTTTATTTTGCTTCTTATGATCAGGTTGATTAGTTAAGTTTCTGATGTTCTATCATGAACTGGAATCATGCTGACGGTAAAAGAGCAAATGAGTTTGTGCATTTAGCCATTGATGAGTTTTCTTCACTAAGTTTCCTGAGTTTCAAACCAGGGTTCTGGTTTGGAGAATACTTGAGGGATGATTAAAAGTCATTTTAGGTAAAATGAGTGAAGCAGATTCTTAAAAGAACCAAACCGATGTATGTTTGTTTACAACAAAAATCATCTAAAAGGGGTTTTATGACTAAAGTCATTTCAAAGGAGTCATACTGACAAATTCCAGGTCAAATATAGAACTTCCAAATGCATCCTAGTTATCAAACACTATTCAAACTGGTTGAGACATTTTTTGCCTAAGTAGACCCAGCAGGTTAGATCAAATGCTTAGCAGCTTTTCAGCATGAGTGGTAATGGCATCCAACCATGACTGCCCTTGGGTTTGATTTTCATGCTCATGCTTCTAACATCAGAATACAACAGTTCTGTATAGCTGTTAAATATTCTTGAACAACAGTCCTCAGAGCTGTGGTAACTGTTAGCGTTGTTTGGTATTTAATTGGTAAATAGGCATAAATTGGCCACTTCTGCTGGGTTCCATGTTTAACTTGAAGTAGGAACCTGACTCTAAGGAAGATGTCAAGCTCAACCCTGTTTTAGGTCCAATTTTGTTTTTGAAGTTTATAAAATCTATAATCGCTTTCAAAACAAAAGCTAAGGCTGAGAATTAAAATTGCAAAGCCCCATCTTAATAGAAACTAATGATCCTCAGGATAGTGTAGAAATATGTGGTCCAAGATAAAAATGTGTTGTTAAAGTTGATATAGAAATAACAGCACTTCACTGATAGACGATCAGAGCATAAGTCAGATGTTATGGTCTGGGGCTACTCTGCTCAGTTCAACTGCCTAATTATCAGTTAATGCCTATAAGCTTAGACACATTTAGTTATAGAACAGGGAAATTATCGTAAATACAACCACAAGCCCAGCTTTTAATATGTTTTATGGAATGGACTAGTCAAAGTCTGGGGTTTAACATTTGAATTTGAACGTGTATATGCTGGAAAACCTTCCAGTGTGTCAAAATAACAAGAATTCTGCTAAGAAGTCAATGTAAAAGGGTCATGGAACAAAGCTATTTGCTCCAGTAACATGCAGTTACAGTAAGTTTAGTGAGAAACTCACTATTTGTATTGCCAGGTTGGCTTGGATGGCTTTTTTTTCTACTAATAAAAACAATTTTTTTTTTGTATTTTAGGTGCTTTTGTTGTCTTGCTTAAAAAAACAAAAATAGTTTGTATATATGGTAAAAGTTAACAGATAAGGTGTATAGAGGACTTTTCCCAGTCTGATTCTGCCAATCTTATACAAAAATTTAATCTGTGTCTCATAATTATGAGATGGTATCCCATAATTATGACTCTTAATTGTGATATTTAAAAATTAGTATGATTTATTGGTTTGTATAACTGTTACGTTTTGGGATTTATTTGTCCAATTCATTTTGGGCTTCCTTTGTTCCATGCTAGAAAATGCATTATCTAATCTATTGAACATATATTTAATAATAAGATTTCCCGATGTCAAAGGTTTGACACCGGGAAATCAATACCTTACCTATAGTTTACAAGCATCACACCATTTCTTCAGGACACAAAAACTTATCAGTCTCCTGAAGTGCTGGGTGAACACAAATTGGAGATCATATGATTATAAAATAGCTATTTCATAATTAAGCAATATGGTGACCATATTTTCAAAAAAGAGGACACTTGGCCCAGCCTTGAGACAAATTCAGACAAGCTTCTCAGAGGTTAATGAACATGCTTTATTATACTTCTGTGGTAGAAAAATAACTTCTGTAGTAAAAAAAAAAAAAAAAATCTGTAAAACCCACTCAAAATGTGCATCATGAGATGCAATTGCAAAGACAAACTGTGAAATCTTCATTGTTCTGAGTAACATGCTCTACTTTTTGCCTTTTCAAAATATTTGTTCCCCTTCTGGGGTATCTGCAGGCCACTGAACTCCTCATCACTGTTACACCTTTCTAGGAAACTCTTCAGATTGGTGACCTGGCCAAAACATTTAACATCATCGACTGGTACTCCTTCTCTCCTAAGTATTTGGAAAAGATTTTTCAAGTACATCCGTGAAGCTGCACTTGTGCTTCAGCATATGTTGTCCAGTAATTGGGACACCCTTTGCCCTGCCCTGCATGTTTTAGATATATCTGTTCCAGCACACCTAATTTAAATTAGGGCTCCTCCTCTGTAATCAAGTCCGCAGAAACCTGTAAATCATCCATTCTTTTCTGATGTGATGCAACAAGGAAACACCTCAAACATGCAGGACAGGGGTTCCTGAAGAACAGGGTCAGGCACCACTGAGCTAGAGCCTCCAACAAGGCCATCGCTCAAGAATTATATCATACCGTACTGAAGTATTCTGTGCAAAGCTCTAGTCTATTTAAGCATACAATTATGGCTCCGTGAAAAACAGTGAAAACTAGACATTTTCATTAGGGATGCACGATATTGTGATTTTGGCCGATATGCCGATATTTTTAAAACTCATGTAGCCGATAACCGATATCGATACCAATGTTAAAGCTGGACAAAAATAAGTAGTCATTGAAAATAGCAGTTTTTTATCCTTTTCTGACACAAAATACAAAATTATATACTCAAATATATTTTCATATGCTGATATCAAATTGATTTTTAAAAACGCGGTATCGATCTATTTTACTTTCAAAATCTCGTGAAATTTCATCGTTCTGTTACAAACTCTTGTGATATTTTGCAATTTCTTGTGAGATTTTGTTAGTAAAATAGATCGATACCGCGTCAATATATCAACATATAAAAATATGGCAACATTTTGTGAATTTTCGGGGGATTTCGTAGCATAACGATGACATATAGCAATATTTCAGTAGTAAAAGAGATTGATATGGTGTTTTTAAATGGCAATATATCAGCATATGAAGATATTGGGATATTTTAATGTATATTTTTTCCCTCGTCTTTAGAAGTTTTTAAGTCTGTAAAAAATAAGTTTTTAAGGAAGAAGAAGTAGTATTTTTTTTTTAGACCTTAGAATCTCAGAAGCTGATCAAATATCGGGTTAAATATTGGTGTGGTGGCCGATGTCCGATATTCAGTTTTAAGGCCGATACAGGCCGATACCGATAGGGGGGCGATTATATCGTGCATCCCTAATTTTCATGGATTTATATTATCCCTCCAGAGAAGACGTAAAAAGGGGACATGTCCAGGCAAAACAAGACGTTTGATCACCCAACAATAGTATCTTATTGAGATACAATCTCATAATTATGAGATTGCTAAGTCATAATTATAAAATAGTATCTCTTTATTATTTGATATTTCATATTATGGGCTGGCTAAATCAAAAAGCATTGTATCCTTTTATTATGAGATAAAGATCTGTCATGAGATAGCTACAGTAAGTCATAATTATGAAATATCTCTTTTGGGGCTGAAACTAACAATCATTTTGCAAATCAATTATTCTTGATTATTTTTTCTATTAACTGATTAATAATTGGATAGCCAAAGGTTCCTTAAAGAGGATTTTTACGAAATAAAACCAGGTGAAACTAAAGCTTTTTCATTTGAGGAGTTCTTGATAGTACGGAAGAGGATTAGGGCCACTGGAAAAAAAAAAAAAAAAGTTAACTGATTTTTTTTTATTTTATTTCAGTATAGTATGGGAAAAAAGTCAGAATTATGACTTTAATCTCAGAATTATGACTTTTTTCCCATGTTAAACTGAAATAAAATTTAAAAATCAGTTTACTTTTCTTTTTTTTCCCCAGTGGCCCTAATCCTCTTCCGTATGATAGAGCGTGTTGATAGACGAAAAAAACATTTTTTTTGTCTTAATTGCTAAGTGTTCATATACCTTTTTACAATTTTTATGAAATTAGAGCTCTAAGTGGGTTGTTCTGACAGCTAAAAATATATTTTACAGTCTCAATAATCCAGTTAACAATCGATCAATTATTAAATCAGTTGACGATTATTTCAATAATTTTTAAATCACAGTTAATCAGATTAATTGTTTTAGCCCTAATCTCTTTATTATTTGATATTATGTCATATTATGAGCTGACTAAGTCATAATAATAGCATAGTATGAGGTAATATTTAATAATTATGAGATGGTGTCTCTTTATTATGAGTCTGAGTATCTCATGAAAGACTTATAAATCTAATAATTATGAGAAAGCTAAGTCACAATAATGATGTACTGTCTTCATATTACTACATAACTTTCTCAAAAGTATCGACCATGTCATAATTGTGAGATAGCTAAGATTGCTAAGCTATGGAGGAGGATTGGGGCCACTGAAAAAAATAAAAAAGTTAACTGATTTTTTAATTGTATTTCAGTATAATATGAGAAAATAGTCAGATTTCTGACTTTCATCTCAAAATTCTGACTTTTTTCTCACAATTCTGACTGAATTCTGACAGCTAACAAATATTTTAGCATCAAGCCGTAGCCATGTCTGTTTTAGAGACTAAAGTAGCTCTCTTGTTTTAATCACCTTCTGTTCTTCCATTAATGAAATAGCATCACCGGGGACCTCTCGTGCACGTAAAAAGTCGCCTAATCCTGTCATTTTCCACCAATGTGTTACTGGCCCTCTCACACAACTCTCATCTTTGTCAGTGAAGCTGAGTGCTCCCACATCTCTTCCTTCATGGTGCCCATCTACATTAAGAGCCAAAATTCTGAGATTAAAGTCAGAATTCTGAGGGAAAAAAAAGTCAGAATTCTGAGGGAAAAAAAGTCAGAATTTTGAGGGGAAAAAAAGTCAGAATTCTAAGAAAAAAAAGTCAGAATTCTGAGATTAAAGTCAGAATTCTGACTTTTTTCCCATATTAAACTGAAATAATACTTAA